GGCAGGGAAATGATGAGGCGGCGTGTCAAATCCAAAATCAAAAATTCGAAATTCAAAAAGGAATGATGGTAATAGATATACTCGGAAAAATCCCAAGTACAAGATCCAACCATAAGTCGGGCCGAATAAGGTCGTCGACATAACAAGTGGGAAATAAAGACGACACGACTCATCAGTAGGTGACATAGGGCCTGATTACCAAATTTTCTCTTAAGCTCGAAGTCGCTTAGAGTAATTTTTGGGGGGAACTAGATGATATAGCCCTATTATCATAGCTACGATTCAAATGCTAACTACCCGACTGAACAAACACAAATGACGACATCATTAAGTCGACATTCCCGAAGTCGATTTGGCCCATCAGCCATTTGAAGACCATTATCGGCCTGATAACGACCTCAAGACGACTCTAGGAAGTCGACTGAGTATAAGAAGATTTCTCTCAAGAAGACGAGCAGACACTCTAGGAGCCCTGGGCGCATATATAACCCTAGGTCGACTAGACAAGGCCCCAAGTCGACTTACAAGACATCCGACGACCTGATACACTTAGGTGCAGCAGAGGGAGAATCTCCGAGTGAGACTAAGTTCATATGGGATAAGAAGGAATCTAGATGTTGACTCAGGAGTGGGCGGAATACAAACCGACCAGAACATTTTGGACACTTCGTGTAAGTCGGCCAGGGCATTTTAGGTATTTCGAGTAAGCGTTCCTATTCCTATATAAAGGAGCTAAGGTAACCCCAAACTCTAACTTTCCATTCATTGTTCAGCTGCTGCTCCTATTGAGCAGAGCTCATCTTCTTCTCTCTCACTAACTTGAGCGTCGGAGGCTCTTCACCAGAAAACACTTCCGGTGTTGAGTTCTTGCAGGTGTTCGCAGCGGCTCAAGGACGATTTGGAGACGGTTCAAACAGACCGGAGCTCATTTCCACCGGTCCACTCCAGATCTAGGAGGAGACCCAACGAGTCAATTATTGAACCGTATAATTAACTTTATAAAATTTAAATTATATTTATGAAATTTTTATCTTATAACTATATATAAAATAAGAAAAAAATTATTTATGTGTAAATTTTATACTCCAAAGTCTTAGATAATATTTTATTTTATCACAGATATATACCACATAAATATATAGACATAATGTAATTTTTAAAAATAAAAAGTTAAAAAATTATTAATGGTCGGGTCAATACTCAGGTCAGGACTGTGTTAAATGGGTTTCTTGCTACTCCGAACAACCCACCAGGACAAGTCCCAACGTCAATCCGTTGGGCCGGTCCGAATTTTAAATCTACGGCTGGAACTTACACTTGAGAACTGGGAAATCGAATCGGTAGTCAGTTCGGTCTAGTTATCGAAAAATATTATTTTCTTCAGTTTGGTTATTTTGTGCATAAGTCAGTTCTTGTTCTCGACTTCTATCAGGGTTGGAATTTTCGTTGAAAACCAGGAATCGAATCGAATCGAACCGAACCAATTTCATTTTTCTTAGTAACCGACCGACCGGTTGTATATCAGTTTGGAATCAATTTTCATTGTCAAGAAGTTTTAGTTTTACTGAATGGAATTGATAATTATTTTCTAAATAACTAATATATTTAGGATTTTGATGCTTTTAAATGACTTTTTTATAATTTCTAAAACGAACAATCTTTCACTTTGTTGCCCGACAAAGAGCATCTCAAATTGCATTATTGTCCATTTTGTATTGCATGGCAAGGAGGAAGGAGGATGAAAAATTGGTCTCTAATGTTTAATTTGACATGTGTAAAACTATAATCTTTTGGATAAAGAGAGAGAAATTAAATCGATAATATGATACATGATATAAATTGTTCAGAATTACTTCTACGTCTATAAACTTCTAAAATTTTTTAACCCACATTGATTTTTTGTATCATGTGACAACAAAATAAATCAATCCAAAGACAATTGGACAACAAAATATATCAATTCCGACCTTCTCTGGTGTTGGGAGGGTCGTTTCCTTCGAAGGTGACTGCAGTGCTGCTGTGGGGTTGAGTGCGCGTGGAGGGCCGGGTTGCGGTCTGGCTGGCTCAATTTCGTGGTTGCCCGGGGAGGTTGTGCTGAGCCGTGGTTTGAGCCACTTCCTCTCGGTGGGTTGTCGTTAGAAGTTGGTTCGACTGGTGAAGGTGCTTGGTGCTTGGGGCCGGAGGAGAGGGCCATGGTCTAGTATGTAGGTTTTTTTTGTGTGTTTAGATGTGTGCTTATTTTGTGTGTTTAGGTTCGTGTGTTTGTTTGTTTTGTTTGGTGTTTTTGTTACTTCTCCCGTATGGGAGTTTGCTATCTCCACTTGTGGGAATTTTTTCGTTATGTTCTAGTGTTGCTAGTTAGGTTGGGCTTGTTTAGCCTTTTAGGCTACAATTGTCTCGACTCGTACGCCTCTCAGTTTCAACCTTTGGTTGTTTCCTCTCGGTCATTTGACTGCTTGTGTTTTTTTTCCGTGATATTATTAATAGAATCTGTCGTTTCGAAAAAAAAAAATCAATTCAGAGATCATTGAAGATGCTCAAGTTTGGACTTAGAAGACAAATTTCACTTCAGCCTTTGAAATGTTCTCTCCCCAAACTCACAAATAAAATTCTGAAATTCCATATTCTGACTTCAGTTATCTCAGCTTCTCAGATTTCCTTCGTGGTTGAAAATGTTGTTGATTTGGAGATATAATATTGGACCTTTTTTTTTCTGTTGGATTTCTCTATGTATGTTGGGATGTTGGTATTTTTTTCTCATTTTCTGTCAGGTTTTCTCTATTTTAGCCTTACAAGAGATAGTAGTGAGATTGTGAAGGGTATTTTGTTAATCGATGTGAAGGATAATTTAACTCAAATTAGAGTTTTTATTTTTTGGACTTCAAGTTCGGTAACCGACTATAAATCAGTTTGGTGTCGACTGTTCAATTTAGTGTTACTGAAATAGTCAGTTCGGTTTGCACATGTACCCTCCAGTTCGGTTCAGTTACAGAACCAATATCACCCCTAGTTCTGTTTGTATGACTCATATATTGACAAAGGAAGGAGGCAGACTGATGCCTGCGAGCGTAACGCAGCGAGCGTAGCGAGGGAAGCGGAACGACCGAGCGAAGCGAGCGGAGTGGACGATTCATAATAAATATATCCCTCAGCCGCCGTGGACGTAGACATATTGCCGAACCACGTAAATCTTGTGTTGTTTACTTTCTCGTTTTTAATTCGTATGCCATATTGTCATCTTCTCTCAACAAGTTCCTATTGCGAATGAACATGTATTAACCAAAGGACCGGCTACTTATGCACATTAAGTCATTCTGCATGCATTTTATTTCATATGTACTAATTTGTTCTAGTTCTTAATTTATATTTTTCGGTTTTTCATTGTTATATTATGGTTTTCGGGTACTTTTGATATTTTTTATATGTGAGTTGCAATGTTTTGATGGTTTTCGAACTCAAAAGTTAAAAATTGTTATTACCGACAATTTTTTTAACTGGTTAATTAAATTAACTGACCCGTGATAGCCAACACTGGTTCGGTTCTTTTCCAATTCTTGCAAAATTCGATATGTTAATCGAACCAATTATATTATTCTTTATAACTATGTTTGGAACTGGATCAGTCCCAAGCCTCAATATTAGAAAAAAAAACGTGCATCTACCCACAATGAGTTGAGACTATCTCTCAGTATATATTCAAACACAACTTTTTATTTTTTTTATTTTTCTCAAAAGTATACACCGGCACATTGTTCAATAGTTGGTCTTATGCCAAGTCGACCTACATTAGACCAACATTTTCTATTTATTTTATTTTATTTATTTATTTATTTATTTATTTATTTATTTATTTTACAAAATCGTATATTCTAATTATAAAAACATACTTTAAAAAAGAGCTTAAACATGAGTAGTACACTTGATATTATAAATATAAATATGATATTATAAATATATATTTAATTCAAATAGTATGATGAATATATGTCTCCCTGTAAAGTTTTTTGAATTAGGTTATTGCATAACCGTTTCAGGTGCCCAATGGTGCTTACTTTTCTATGGTTGTGTGATAGTTGGAGAATTTTCAATAACAATGCCTAAAGGGGAATGCTTTCCAGAGTGCATCAATTTGATTTGTAATGTGTAGACATGGCCACGGGTCAACCGGCCCGCCGATCCGGCCCGGACCCGGCACGGACCCGGCCCGGTCAAACCCGTTGACCACGGGTCCGGGCTCGGCTCGGATTTCATAAGGGCCAATTCCGGGTCGGGATTTTTTCGACCCCGACCCGCCAGGCCGGGCCGGGTCAGGGCCGACACAACAAAAATGTATAGTTTTTGAATTTTTTTTTTCTTTTTTTTATTAGGACGGG